GGTCATGGGTATTGAAACATAGCAAATAAATTGGATTGCAGACATGTGTTAAGCATTGCTGAGGGATAGCTTTGGTTTCTTACAGCGCAAGCAGACAGTGAGGCTGTTGTGATTCATGTTAAAAACTAAAAGCTACTCTGATCCACTAGCCCCTGGGTACAGGAGGAAGGATGTTTTATGACTCTGAGCAGGTAACCCAGATTGTATGGATACAGCAAATGCTAAAAATTAGCATTTGCTTGCTACTGAATGGTGCTCTACATCTCTGTGGGCACACAGCTTTATGGGAAAGATGGCACTACTCCAGTTAATGGCAGACTATAATAAGACACAGGTCAGAATGACAGTGCTCTCCTGCACCTAAACCGTTACCAGCAATAACATCAGTGTCACAACTCTGCTGAAACCCTGGTGTAAGAAAAGCACTGCAAATGAGACTCCCAGTAAAAACCTTTTGGCACATCCTCTCCAATAAACCAAATTATTATTTTATTCTTTTAGCACTCAGTTGTCTTTTAAGGGATGAATGATTTGATGACACCAAAATAACCAATGTGGAGTTCAGTGTTCTGCAGAGGGAATTAGGAAAAATAATGAGGAAATGCAAGCTCAAAAAAATAAATGTCCTGAATTCTAGTACAGGGAGTGGGAGACAAATGGGACTGATAGATAAGTTCCCCTCTGCCTCCTGGCATGTCAGTCATTGATGTAATTTTGAAATATTTAACGTGACTATTGATTCAGAGGCTTAGAGTCAGATCCCATTTTCTCTACCAATAACTTGGCTTTAAATTGTTTCTAATTAATCTTAAACATAATTTACATGTTAAGTCATATTTACATTATCAAAACAGCATAAAGATGTCTTACCGTACATAAAAGTCCCTTGGTACATGTTAGTATGAAAACAATTAATTTAACTGGGATTAGTTATGTATTTTAATGTCTTCATCTCTGTGATAATCCTCTTTAAGACCTCTATCTGAGTAAAATGAATACAACAAAGAGAAACTATCCCCTGATTTGTCAAAACTAAGCACATTCTGTGTTGGAGACATCTAAAAGACCGGAGTATTAGCAGCGGTAAGTAATTTTGTGATCAGCAGGCTGCCATAAATAGATCTTAATTTAAGTCCTCTGAGCAACAGCTTTTCAGCTGGACAAGGTGGAAAATATTTATAACTTTTAAAAATGATATTTATGCCATTAAGAGATTTCTAAATAATTAAACACTAATAAATACTTCTAAATGCTTTACTGCCAATTAGCATAAAAGGTTCTGCGGCCTTCCCAACACCACTACCATCTAGAAGAAACCCACTATTCTGCTGTACAGTAATCGGAGATTGGTATTAAATAGCTCCTTGCAGGCAGTCAAATTAACTTCGCTATTATTTTTTGTCACTCATGGAATTCAAAATATTACCGAAACTGCTGCTGTTGCAGTTCAGAAGTGTGGACTTTGGGAAGTGCCTGTTTGCAGGTGCTACCCTGCGGCCCAGGGGCCTAAAGCTCTACCACAAATTTTGATCCTGTTCAGCCACGACTGGAAAAAGCAGAGTTATCTGAGAAGCTGCTGACTAGGACCGACTGGTCCCAGGAGGGTTTCCCCTCAAGAAGCTGAGTTTGGTTTGTGTTCACACACAGCGTCTGTGTCAGTGAGCTCGGAAGTCTGTCAGAGGCGCTCCGTGTTGTGCGAGGGGCCTGAAGCCCGGGGGCGCTGAGGGCAGGCACCGTCCCGTCTCCCTGCCAGGCCGTACAGTGTCTTACCAAGTGTACCCATGGGCACAACTTGGTGACGGTGACCCTTGAGTAAGGATTTAGGATAAAACCACATGTCTAGCAGTAGTAGTGTGATCTTTGAACGTCACCAGGGCAGCCAGCAGCAGTGCTGCAGCTACTGTTCAAGGGTTAAAATACGATTGCTGCCTCTCAGGCAAAGCCTCCATCACGGACACCCTTCAGTGGCATATACACAGGCTTAGGGCTTGATTGAAGATGTTGCTTCTTTCAATCTGCTTCCTGTCCACACTAACACCTCATGGACCTTTTTACTCGGGAACAAAGACAGGGGGGCTTAACCTTTCTTCAGCGTGAATATTGGAAGCTGTATCACAGATTACATGCTGTAATAGACACCTGGCTAAATCCCTACAGAGGATTATAACTTGCATTTTCAAACTGGTGAAGGCTGCTGAGGTCAAGCAGGCCAAGATTTTAAGAAGGAACAAAATAAATTTTCAAGAAGCAAGTCACAGCAACCGATTTTTATACTGCTGCCTCAAGGTAGTTAGCTCAGATGCGCTAGACAATAAATAAATATAGTCTGAATCAAACGTGGAGTGAGGCTGTGCAGTAAATTACTGCATTCAAGTCACACTTTCAGAAATAATAAAGTATTTCTGTTTTCCTTTCCAAAAGAGCATTTCAAGTTTTCCATTCGGTACCACGCTATACGTTGCTGATGACTAATTGGACAGTAACAACTGATAGCAAAAATTGCCCTAATGCTTACATTTTCCATGTGATTTCTAGTTATGTGTTTACTATTACACAGCCAGACTATGAAACCATTAACTGGGAGATACTACTCATTAGGAGTCCTCTGTCTAAGGGCACATAGTCAGTGTAGTCGATTGGCAAGACACAGAATACGTCGCATAATAATTCATGTTATCACTACATCCATTAGCCAGTTTGAGAGTATCTTGGTCAATGTCTGTAGAATTATTGTTGTGATGAATACAGGGATGGCTGTAGACGAGAACAATTCACCATCAATAACATTTCATCACTGCAGTGACAGCATTTTAAGTTAAAATGATTTAAGTTAAAAAAGAAAAAGTGCTAAAATCTCAGTGGAAGATTCAATGCTCTCACAGAGCTCCCAAGTGAGAGTCATTTGGATGGTCAGACAAGCACTTTGAACTCTGAGCTGCGGGCTGCACACTGTGAATTCACCAAAAACAGCAAAAAGAAAATAAAAGAATGTTTAAATCAATAACTTCTGGAGAGACTTAAAAAGATTAAACCAGGGAGGATGTGACTGACCAAAAATAAATAATAATACTTAACAACTTTGTGCACTTCTAAGCTTGAAAATACATTGCAGGTTATCATCCTGATCCTGAAACAAATGCAGTGCAAGCAGGTCCTTAAAAGTCAGATGTTTTAATTTTTTTTTTTTTAAAGATATTTACATGTAAGTCTCTAAAGATCTGGCACTTTGTCTTGTGGAACGTAGGCTTAACTAATTAATCTTTGTGACAATAGCTCCATGAGGTAGGATCCTATCCCAAATTTACATATAGCTCAGAATAGAGAGAAATGCTTTTGCATGACGAACTCTGTAATCCCTGAATATATTGCACTGTTTCTTCTAAAGCCTTATGGCAGATCACCTTAAGGCATTCCTGGTACCTGGAGTAGTTTTCAGATTATTGTTATTAGATCATCCCTCTCTCCAATACTAGTAGCTGAAAATGTATCATAGGAAAAACATTTTAAAATTTGCATCACCATTACGGGAAGACTGTATTTCCCTCTTTCCATGGCCCTTTATCACTGTGTAACAGGAACACGGCATAATTTGCTTGGTGAAGAGAGAATTAAATTATATCATCTAAATCTGTTCAGGCTTCTGGAATTTTCTAGTTCACAGGAGAGTTACCAAGAGATTTAGCAAAACTATTACCATATCACCATTGGTATAATATGATCACATTTGTAAAGGCACTTAATTCCTATCAGAACATTATTTCTTTTTAGTTACTCAAGATCCTTATTTTTCTAAATGCTTTTCAAATTACTTGACTAGTCTAATGGATTTTTGTTTCCTCTGAATAAACTCTGCCCACTTTTTCTGGGGAAAAGCCTGCGTATTCCCACTTGACAATTTTATGCTTCTGAGGCGATCTTTGACTTGGCAACCTTGCTGATGTTATTTTGACCACTTGGTGATTCTGGCATTAATGATACTTTATGGCAGATCTACTGACACTGACCCAAGTGTATTTTTGTTGTTTGAGAAACTCAATATTGGCGTTTTCCTCTTGTGTCAGCAGGTATCTGGCAATATAATCGCTTTCCTATTTATAGCTTTTGTAATATCATGAGGTGCATACCACTGGGACCCCATTGTGCTAAGTTCTGGCTAAACAATATGGCAACAGTTCCAAGCAAATCTAAGTTTCTTCATATGCTGCACGCATATTTGGGTTTGAGGAACTGAAATCACAGGGGACATAACATCCATTCCTGTCAGCATACTGGCACTTGTCCTGGCAAAGCCAGCCCATCTATTAGAGGCCTCCTCAGACGCAGCAGCAGAGGAGATAGATCACCACGGTCCTGCTCAGCAGTTTTCTGTGCATTTTTGTTAGATCAGCTCATGCAGCCATGCTGCCACCCTGCAGGGTCCCCAGCGGGAAAGGGTGCCACTCACATTACATTGAGTGGTCTGATACAGAGCTCATCTTCCTCGCTCTTTTTGATTATCTTCAATTATCCATGAATTTAGAATGGGAGCCACCGAGGGAGGGAGTCAAAAAAGGAGATGTCTAAAATATGACAGTTGAAATGTGCCATCTCTGTGCCAGGGAAAGCTGGTGTGGTCTTATTGAGGGATGGTCTCAGTTACCATGGTGGATCAGAAAGGGAACAGGGGCATTGTGAGAACTGAGACATTAAATCGTCTCTGTGATGGCAGAGAGAATTAGGGTGCTGGCAACATGAAGAAAATCTCAGTATTTTATTTTATTTTATTTTATTTTATTTTATTTTATTTTGGCTAGAAATAACTGCATTCAGATTTTTGGTTCACAAGGAACATCTGTGGATGGCAAAAAGACTGAGAAATGTGCTGTGAGGGCAGGGTGTGCCCCATCAGGCCTTAACGACCTTGACCAGCCCCATGTGGACCCCTGGTCAGGCCCTACTTAAACTCAAGCCAGGGCCCTCCTCTGTTTTTTTCTCCTGGGTGGGCTTGAGGTCTGTGTTATAGCTGCATCTACTTCTGCTCCTGTTGGGGCTCTATGGATGTTCCTACTCCAGCCCTTGCTGTGCCTGGGGCTGTCAGTGGGCCTGCTGGGACTCCTGGCCATGCAGGATGTGTGTCCCCCCCATCAGTAAGGGCATAGCTGGTGAAGGTGGTCCTCTGCCTCAATGTGGGGCCACTCTGCTTCTGAGCAGTTGTGTGGGGATATGCTCTGAGCGAGGAGATGGGAATAATGCAGATCCCCAGCTTGCCCTAAGCAACAGTGCAGCAGGTTTAGACTAGTTGAGTATGAGATTGAAGTAATGAGAGTGTAGAAATATTGTCTTGGGAAAAAAATCAGGAAATGTTACAGCGTGAGCAAACTGGAGTGTTGCATTGTAGTCTGTGTGGGCTGTTGCACCCTGCTGGAGAGGGTGGACTACCAAACCCTCCTGGGCAGGGTGGGTGATTACTGTAAGCTGTGCTCAGCTGGTGCTTCTCTCTGTGCCAGACGTTTGTGAGTACCATGTGGTTTTTCTCTGGTAGATGGCATAAATAACTACTTTGTTTTTATTTCACTCAGACAAATGATGAAATGTGCCTTGCAAGTCATGGAGGCAGGTGGGATGTGATGGCTGTGACTTCTGGGGAAGGTTGCTCTGAGATTTCTCATGGGTTCCTGGGGAAGCTCCATCTCCCGCAGTAGGGCTTCCTCTTTCTCCAGGAGGACAGCTCTCAAGTAACATCTGTGAAGGCTCATTGATGTTATAGATCCCAGCAATTGAGTGCATCCAGATACAGGCCAAGAATTTTAACTTGACCTCTGTGTAAACCAAATGAAATGAGCAGGAGGGAGAGCTGACGTGGTGTTTATTTGAAGCGCTACTGTGCAATGTTTGGCGCAGCATTCCCCTGAACTGCTTTCAGCAATTGCACCTTGGTCAGCTCTTTTTATAGACCATCCATCACAGCTCCTAAAAACAGGTCATGTATATACTAACTACTGTATGAGGTTGAATATAAGCAGTGCAGAAACACAATTAAAATCTTTAGTTACTGAGAAATAAGCATGATGTTTTGTAATGAGTTAAATGGAAACTACACGGGTCATAAAAGCAGAGAATTATCATGACTTCTGTGTCCCTTTTAAAGGGAGTTACACTGAAAACTGTTTTTCACCAAGGTCTCACTGGTTATCTATATTATGACAAGTTTTTGGTATGTAATAGGATAGGGTTTGCATGCAGTTTAAAAATCATCTGTTGATAATACAGTTGGACAAAAACTTGTCATACTGAAATTGTCACACAAATAGTTTAAATGTTGCATATATTTGATTACTGAGAAAGATGTACAAAACCTGTACTTTTTCTCTTTGTGGTATTTTTTAATCCAGAAGGCATCTAAAATACTATGTAACCCATTAATGTAGCTTCAAGAATTAGCTGACAGTCCACCAAAGCTGACTGTTAAAACTATTTAATAGCAAACAGCTGTTCTACAGTGTGGAACTGAAGGCTACCATATTTGATTAAAACTTCAAAAGTATTTTACATAAGCGGGATGCAATAATGTATAGTGCAAAATAGAAAATAATTCCAAAATTATAAAGGCTTTTTGTTTATTCCTACTATACCTGAATACTGAGTAACAAGAAAAGTACAGGCAGTTGCTATGAAGATGAAGAAAACAAATGTAAAATGACACCCACTCAAGCTGTATACTTCTGACTTCTGTGCAGGTTCTAACTAGGTAATGAAAGTTTGTAATGCTGGTGTCCTACTAGGTAGGTGTGAAAATAACTTAAAACTTCAAATGTATGACATGTGGGTCATACAATAGCTCAAGTTGCATGTTTGGCTTGATTGGCTGGGTAACATGAAAGGTAATAATTTATAATTAATGCTTTATTTGGCAGTTTTCAGATTCAGTGAAGCTCAAATTGCAGTTAGAGCTCTACTGTGGTGTTTAAAATAGATGTTTTGCACATCAGAAGCTTTGAGGGCCACATTTTAAGGCTGGGATAGGGCTGTACACATGCAGATATGCACAGGGAGGAATGAACCTGTGCTGCAGGTGCCTGCTTGCAGCCCTACCTTTCCCTTGCTGTAGAACAGACTGAGGGCTTCCAGATGCTACATTGAATTTCATGTTAAATGAGAACAGGGCTATTCTTTTAAGTAGCACAAGCTTAGCTAGCTTGTGTGGGGTTGGGGGCTCTAGGAAGTCTTGTAGATTTCCTACTGTGTCACTTTTCTGGTGCAGCACCTTGCAGTGGACCCACTGGAAAAATCTTTCAGAGCAGTACCTTTGTGGGCCCACCTCTGCCTCTAGCCAGCATCAGTCTGCAATCTAACAGAGTGCTGCTTGCTCAGTCCCTCTTCCTGTGCTCCTGCTGGTGAGCTGAGGGGCTCCAAGCTGGCATTGCCTCCAGAGACAGGTTTCTTACAAACTTGGAGACTCCCACTTTTTTTTTACCACCAATTGTGCCACCTCTATACCTAGCAATTATACTGCTGTGTGGTGAACAAGATGAGAGGGCTGAAGTGTCTGGAAACCAAGGCTTTATTTTCTCAGTCTGTTTTCCATTGAATCAAGTCTGATCTGATGTACTGCTTGCCTCCTTGAGTGCCAGAAGGGATACAACAGCTGGGGACAGAAGTGAAGTGGCGTAGATTGAATGGCTTAAGGGCAATGTGAAAATGCACCCTAAATTGTGAATAAAGAGCTAAATTATGCCTATTCTGTCACATTTGTGCTTATCTGTAAAAAGATCATTTATATATACAAATAGCTACTTGGATGCGTGAGTGTTATTTATGATGTAAAGAACTATTCCTGGGGCATAAATGTGTATTGGACTTGGGCACAACCAGTTCTGTCCCAACAAAATTACTTTCATTATTTGTTGCCTCAAGGCATCATTAGGATTTTATTATTTCAAAGGACAGCAGGATTTAGGACAGCAAATTTGGGTTCTTTCCTGCACATGTAAACAGTAGCAGCAAATGGTACTGAGGCCTGCACTGAGGATGTTTCTTTTGCAAAGTCTTTGATATAAATTCCAGTGTAAAGGATTTTTTTTTCTATATATAGTACTTTACCCTCTCTGTATGCATGCAGGTGTGTGAACATGCTTCCGATTCTTTGCTTTACCTGAAAATTTTATTCTTTCCTGTAAGTGGAAGAATTCCAGAACTGTGGGATATGCTATACCTTGAAAGTACAGCTGGTTTTGTTGGAAGGCACATTGCATTATCTCATTGTGACTGCAGGTGTTACGTTTTACTCTGAATACTGGCAAACTGTCATGATGAAGAGTGATGTTACAAAATATGTTGTATGAAGCTATACTGATTGACACAGACTTCATACAAAGCCATTTTTATGCACTGAAACACAAGTCCCTGTACTAAAAAAAAAAAGGGGGGGGGGAAGGAGGAGGAAATGAAATCCAAACATAACTGGCTTTGTGAAGACACATTTCTTATTGAAGTATTCACCCTTGGGGAACAGATTTTACTTCCAACTTAAATGCTATCTTCTTGCCTAAATGTACAACTAGAACAAATAGTCATGTGTCTAGTCTTCATAATCTGGGGGATATTGACTATATAATATGGCGAGACAATGAGCAGAGGAGTAGCAAATCCTCCATGGTATTCCTTAATGGTTGTCTGTCACAAACCACTGTTTGCTTTAATAATTTTCATGGGATCATTTTCACTTACTCTGTGGGACACTCGACTGCTGTAGACCATTCCTGAGTAGTAGCAATAGTTAAATAACTTGTTTGTCAGATGCGATGCAAAACATAGGTGGGTGGTGGTGTGGGTATGTCATTTGGCTTTCTTTCAAAAAGACAGTTATCCTCTGAGATGGTCTAATCAAACGCCTGCAAAGATTACACTGAATAATATGTGCATTCATGAGAGCGCTACCAAAATAAATTGGTATTTTATTAATCTTCATGATGAGACAAGAGTTGAGTGCAATTCAATAGTAAATTCTCCAAATTATCATAATCTTTTACTTGGCTATCATTGGAAGTAGGTGGCTTTGCTAAGCCGAGGCAAGTTATCTTTCTCCATAAACGATTGCCCCTATTTTACATATTCACAGTGATTTCAGTGGGTTCTTCATGCAACAGTATGTAGTAATGTAGTGTATTTGCTATAAATAAGGATAGCAAAACTGTGTCACCTAAAGTTACAAGAGTTTTAAAACCCATGTTTAAATAATATGATAATTAGTTTTTGCATATTTTTAGCTGTAGATCTCAATGATTTGTAGTTCAGCTGCCTCCAAAGTTACAGCTGGGGAAGATCAGTCACAGAGGTGAGTAATGAGCACTCACCTGAGTGGTGGCTAGGCCAGGAACAAACCATTTTCCTTTGCCCCACGGATCTCTTTTGCAAAGAGAATTCTTGTCTTTGTACTAATTTTCTGTCTAACGCCATAGAGAAAAGAAAATGCAGAGCCAGACAGACAACAAATAAAGGGAACTAAAGAGAAGAAATTCTTGTTGGGAATGTCTCAGCTGCACTTCTGGAACTGTCTGCATCTGTAGGCACTTGCTCGTTCTGTTCCTGAGTATTATTGATTCTATGCCAGTGGATTTAATGCAAAATTATATTTCTATATTAACTGTAATTTTATTTCTGATTCTTAATGTCAGTATTATTCTTCAGAATTTCTGACCTGCTTCTGTATTACTGCTGTGTCTACTGCCATTTTAATAAGCTTTAGAGCCAGTAGATTAACGCTGAATGTCAAACACCACAATTAGAATTGCTGATGTTATGCAGAAACATTGGTTTTAATATATTAAAAAACCCACCCTCTTTCTATTGCAATAGAATCTGCACTCATTTTTGTTATATTTGATCATTTTTTCACAGAATTCTCAGACTCAGAGGACCCTTGTGTGTATTTGAACCATGAAAGTGATGAAGGAAAAGTAACATAAACAAAAATGACAATTGTAAGTGAAATTCAATTTCATTTCATTTCTCTTACAAGGTGGGCTATGTTGTTTTGCCTTCCTTTGTTTGTCAAGATGGTAAAATAAATGTTTCTAATGAATCACAGTGTATTCCCACATAATGTGGAATTCTTAGAGAAACAAATTTAGATGCTGAATTTCATTATACAGTGAAAAGATGTTGTATTAGTACACACAATGAATTGTGCATTCGGATTATAGCCTGTAGTACTTTGGAAGAGAATGAAGGCACTCATCAAGTCCACATTAGAATACTGCACTGATATAAGTAATCCAATCAAATGTACAGTATCTTTTGAGGAAAGGTAGCAAACTTTGTGATGAGCTGGTAACTTACTTGGTTATGTGTTGGGGATTTTCATGTAATTTCCCTTATTACATATATCCATAATAAGAAATAATAGCATATCTCTGAAAAATATACAATTTCCTAAGGTGATGTGTACTCAGACTGTTACCAGAAGTGTAAATTTGCAGATGTTATGTGGTTGCACTGACTCCTACCAGCCTGCCATTTTTCAAAACATTTAATTATGCAAATTCCAACTGGTTGGATCTCAGGGTAAGAGAAACAAAAGCAGCTGCTCCTGCCCCATGCAGAGGTAGGGGTGTAGAACCTGTTATCTCTGCTGTTGCCCCTCAGGCTCAGCTGCCTCAAGCAGAAAACTCAGAGCAGTGAAAACTGGAGATAAAGCCAGGTTGCCGGTAATATTTCATGGCTTCAGCTACTGTCCCAAATGACGGGGACGTCCCAAGCCGGAACAAGAATCTTCTACCTGAAATACAAGCGCACCTATCTCTAAGGCATGAAATGCCTAGGAAAATGTATGTAAAACGTTCAGTTGTATGTTTTCATCATTGTTGCATACAACTTCCTTGAATTGGGTATCTTGCTTATTGAGCTGGCTCTGAAGTAATTTGTATCTGGAAGTGAAGAGCCTTTTTCTCCCTAGAGCTTTGGTAAGGCTGCTGCAATGAGGCTGCGTTTTCAACCTCTGCAGCCTCCACTGTAACAAGGAGAAGCCACGTGTGGCACCTGTGTTAATTTGCCAGTTCAGGTATCCCTGCCAGCCTGGGCTGAGTACAGCCCGCAGCACTGCTTGGTACTGCAGTACTCTTGCCCTGAATGGATGTGGTGCTGCCACCTCTATACCTGTGGTGTTGTCCTCTGCCTGGCTGCATATGGCAGAATGAGTAGTGTGACTCCAGACAAATGTAGTACAAATACACCCTAAAAAAACTGACCTGTGGTAGGTGTGGGAAGTTCTACACAAGAAGAGACTAAATGTGTTTTTTTCTGTAATGGAAAAACAGGCTTTCTACAATTGCCTGCTAGGATGCCTGAAGGTACAGTTTAAGGGCAGGGATTCCTTTTATCTTAATACATTTCCATCCATTACAGAGTAAGTTGATAAAAAGAAGCTCTGAGTGTGCTCCTCTCAGTGAACCACCATGGGAAGTAATAAATTACAGCATATTATGTTCCCTATCAGTTCCACCCATCACAGGCTTGTCTTGCAGAAGACGCGATAAAGAGAACACCTCAGATAAAGTAATGCAATTAACTGCTGCCATTTGAAATCTGAAAAATTATATTTCTTCATTCCCAGCCCATCTGGCTCTTTTACTGTTTTTGAGTAAAAATGCTGCTTAATGACTTGCTGGTTGGCTGTAGCACTGCTTTCCAGCAGGTGAGGTGATTTGCAGCCTAGTGTTGTAAAGGAAAGGTCAAAAGCTTGCAGCAGCTGCCAGCACCCCGGCTGTGCAGCCCTAGATCAGGGTTGCCCAGCTCCATCTCCTGCAGCCCCCTGGTGAGGGCACGGTGCCTATGTGAGCTCCACGGGGCTCAGATGCCTCTCTGAGGTGAGATGCTCTTGTGGCTGGGTGCCGCAGCACCCGGAGCCAGAAAGGCATGGAGTTGCCTGACCACGATGATGGATATGCCTCTGTGTATTCCTACAGTTACTCTGCAATTTAAGCAATATAGTGCCTTACAGCATTTATCTTTAAAGGGAGTTTTAGCTCCCAGTTTGTACTAGAGGAGCTCTGTGAAGTACACTTATTAGAATGAAAAATAGCTGTCTATAAAATGAATCACTATAAGGGTGCAAAAATAAAAACCCTGAGAGAAGGGGAGGTATTCCTTCCTCAGACACAGGGCTGTACTATGTCATGAAGAAATCAATACGTCTCTTTAAAGATATGCAGCATTTAAGTCTTGTTGATTATGCTTTATATAAAAAACACCTTGTGCAGACCATGCGAGTACATTCAGGCCCAAAGAAAAGTATGTTAAGGGTAGGCAGTGGCACAGTTCTGCTTGTAATGATGGCCTTTAAGACGGCATATAAGATCACCCTGTTCAGCATGGCCATCTGTGATATGTTAATGCAAAAAAAAAAAAAAGGCAACTTCAAAAGATTTATGCCCTTAGATTTCTTTACTTTCATTCCTCCTAATTTTTGATTGGGTGTCTACTGGAAGTACTGCAGTGAAATCAATGGAAGATCTCTAAATTTTAGCTGATAACTCAAGTCAGCATAGGGCTCTAAATTTTAAATGGATTTGAGATTACTGCTATGAATTTTGTTACACAGCATTTGCATATGTTAGTTCAATAAATGATACTTTACGTTGGCACTTGTGAATTCACAAGTTGGCCGACAATTAAAACGTACATAAGAAAACAAGCCCGTTAAATTGCTTGATTGTACTAACTTTAGTATGTCACTATGAGCTATTTTAAATGACTTATTGCTGCAATTTATTTGATGAGCAAGCTGAGAGTTACTTGTCTTTGTCATAGAAGCTATTTAAAAAATCTGTTTATCTCCTGCCTCCTTGCAAACATTTGTGACTATCACCATCTATATCTCTATACTTATTTGTATGTATTTTGGAACTCAGTACTGACTAGCTTTAGATTATAAAATCAATTTCTCCATCTGACTTTATGCCTAGTAAAGCTTTCTACAGTGCCAATATTTCTTAGGCTGCTTTTCTTGACTTAATTTTGTAAACATTATTTTGCAGATTTAGAAGTTGGAAACTTAGAAGAACAACGATATTCAGGTTTGCAAGCAGCTTTAGCTCTGACTTAACATTTCTGTGCAGGGTCCTGTCCTGTGTCTGTCCTCCCTGCTCCCCAGACTGGAGAAACTGCCTCTCTATATATCTGGATGACAGGAAACCTGGCTTAATCCAAAGTTTTGGTTACAATGCCCAAAACCAGAAAAAATCAGAGTGCTTTGGTATATGTGAGCATGTAAGAAGAAAACAATTTCAAACTGAGTATGTTGAATATATGAAGAGATATTTAAATATTTATTATGTTATAAAATAACCTGATGCTACAGGAAGTTTTTCATTAGAACTTTATGATTTTATTCAAATTCTGAAGTTCCTTTCAATGAGGCAAATCCTATCCAGAGATTAAATTAAATTAATTCCTAGTCAAGAATTCATTGAAATCAACAGATGTTCTCACTGAATAAAACCTGAGTGGCAATTGAATAAAAGCTCCAGGAGGTATCCTAGTATTTATGAGGTCCCAGATCATCCTGTCACTCCCCAGCAGCTTTTAGCTCCACATACATCACGCTTCTCTGAAGCTGGCCTGGTTTGCCACAGCTGATCTCCCCCTGGTGCCAGCGCAGGGGACGCAGTTTGAGTGAGGTGTTCCCACAGCCCGGAGAACAGCACTGGCTGCTCTCAGCTTGGGCTGTCCTAATTGTCCACTCATTCCCAAACAGAAGAGATAAACACGATCCATATAGCTTTCAAGACATCTCTGTTAACTGTTAACAGACTAGGCTTTAGTTTATTATGGATATACAGAAAGCCATAGAAAAAGAAACATGGTTTGAATGAGCAGGCCAACTGCATGTGCTTTGCCTGCAATGCTTTCAACATGGGCTAGACAGAAAAGCAGATAAAAAGGCAGTAAAACAAATGTGTGACATGAGTAAATGTGAATAACAATTGTGTTTCTGAGTGTAAACCATGTTTCATAGCAGTGCAGCCTTCACAGGTATCACCTTTTGTTAATTAAAAAATGCTTTATAATAGAATAGCTGTCATAAATGATATAATTGCTATCACTTGGATATCTTAATTAAATTACGCTGCGGGCTAGAAGTCCTTCAGGGCACCTTTAAGATGCTTGATATTGGTCAGTCACATTGTGAATGGGTTATTATTTTTTCAATGCCACCTGCAAATTCATGGCTTTGTTAGCAGAGTCTACAATAGCTGGGTGAAGTCAGGCTTGGGCTGATATGAGATAAACGGACTAAAAGGACAGATGCTGAGGGTCCTACTAGCTTTTTCTACAATAATGGTGCTCATCATTCTGCAGAAGAGTTTAGGATAAAATCTAATAGTGGTGCTCAGGTTCTGATTTTGCACCTGATAGAGCGCACGCATTTGTCGTTAACAAGTGAATTATGTCAAAGCTTCTCAGCTCAGTATTCCCGATCCTGCTGTTCACTTCTTTGTAGTTCAGAAGACTGCCAGGCCAAGTCCAGCCTTCTGATTCCAGTAAACACAATTACATTGAATACCGTAAGTCTCTGTAAAATGTTTATGGTTCGGTTACAATAACAAAATTAATATAATGGCCTAAGCTAAGCAGGGAGAAAATCTTTCTGCTGGGCTGTTGGACATGTTAACTATTAATGTTTGTTTACACACTGCTACTGCAGTAACAAGTCACAGAGCAGTCCTAGACCAACAGCCTGCTGAGAGGCTCTGCTCAAGCACACGAAGATGATCTCTGCCATGAGGCATTGCCAATCTTGATAGCGTTTTGATAGATCTGATTGTCACTTTTATTATTTTGCTGAGAGACAGTTGCTCTTTTGTCACTGTCATGATGACACGCTGTCATGCACTGGTCTGTGAAGCTCAGGTGCTCGCATGCTGCTGTGCTGTGGAGAAGATTTCTGCTCAGGCAGCAGAGCAGCCGCGTCCTGTGCTCAGGAGTACCTCAGGGGTAGGAATGCTCCAGGGAGAAGCCCAAGGAATAAGGTCAGGCCTTACAGGTATTTGGTGCTTTTACTCTTCCACGTGGGATGGACGGGTCCTTCATGTGCTTCTCTTAATTCCCACAAAAGACTGGAAATATTTTTATAAGTTTTAAGTGAAGCAGATTTGCTCCAAGACACTGAGGTATGCAAACAGCAGCAAGAGTCTATGATGTTGAAAGTAATAATGAGGGGATACATTGTGTTAAATCAGGACACAGAGAATAGAATCAATCCCTTGATGAATGGTGGTGAAGGTAAAAAGAATGAGATCACAGTGATAAGAGATGTATTCCCCCAGTCATCTCAGATGAAGATTTCTCTCCCACTGTTTTATTGTTTGGAGTTATTGTATTACTGGACTACATGTAGAATTAATTTTTCCCTATTATATCAGCATTTAAAAAACACCAGTTATGAAGTATGACATTTTAAAATAATTCACCAAATGAATCTAATTAAATTAGGAATAGACCAAATGTTCTGCAAGTGGAAGTTGTGCTTTGAGAGCAGGCTGCAGTATGCTGCCTGCATGGTGTTAGCAGAACAGGCAGCAGTGATGCATGCGCGTGTGACACTTCGGGAACAGAACTTTTCTGAACCAGTGAGACACCAAGAATAACAATTAAGTGTACGAGTGATCTTGTAAGAAAATGCATCATTAATCTATAAAAGCAGCACCACAGACTCCAGTCTCTTTGGTGGTTTTGTGCTTTATGTTATGATATTTTAAAAGGCAATTGTAGTATATGTCAAATTTTGAGAAAGTGCATGAAGGATTTATTTTGGCTTTTGAGATGTTAGACAAATAAGAAGGGCTAGGAAAGGCTTACTTAGTTTTTTGCAATGATCCAAGACAAACCAAGTACTCATAAGGACAATGCAACTTCCTTATGTCAGTACTGTTTCTTTATCAATTTTAGAAGAAACCCATGTTTTTCTACTGTCACATGACATAATGCAAAAAGTTACATGCAAAGCAGGTTCTGTGCGATGTCCCTAGACTATTCCAGAGCTTAAGGGGAGATCATCTTTAGCTGCCTGGATCATATCAATAGTGGCTGAATAAAATCTCCATAGAAATATATATTTACTCTTTAGTGCTGTGAAAACCTAGATAAAACCTAGACTATGTTGCTTACTTTATCATCTCTAATGAAATGCTGTGGGAAAGTCTAGGTTAGGATAAAGCGGGAATAACTTGTGACTTCATTAAAGCTGCAGTAGACCAAAAAGTTAAGAAATTATATCCTCAAATGTTTGTTTTCTGGAGTATCTTTAAAATATTTTTTCTTTGGGGGGAAAAAAAAACAACACAAAACTGTTTAGACTGCAAAAGCTGAAGATTTTGACACTGAAGTGCATGCAGACTAAATTAAGTTTTGGTTCTCTGACCAATTACAATTGATACTGATACCGTTATTGGGATTTTTTACTTGCAGAAGTACCACAGCATGGTTAACTGCCTCAGAAGTGTAAAGTTTCACGGACAGAGGAGCAACACTTCACAGGAAGTATTGACACATTGACACATGCTGTTCCAACTCTTCTGGCCGAAGAATAAAATGTGAATGCTTTATTCACAGCTGAGAGCACTTACTACCCAAAGCAGCCTCCCTGAAGGCACTGCAACTATTTCTGAGAGCTAATTGTGTGAATAACGTGATACTGTATAAATGTGATCAGTGACTGGAGTGTTGCAGGAGTGCTTGCTTACAGCAGTTCCGCTATAAGACAGTGCTACCCTTACTCATGTATTTTTACAGGTAGACTGTGAGCTGTGTCCTTGGTCAAGAAAGCAGCCTGAAAGGGAAGTCACTGGGGAAACGAGCAAAATCAAATTCTGAAACAAGTTATCACTAACTGTCGGCAACACTAGGTAAAACTAAAATAGAGAGGTGATAATGGTATGAAACGGGAAAGGAGGAGTGTGAAGAACTGAGGTCATCAGGAAAAAAAGGGCGAAAAATAATTGAAGCTTAAACCCTGCTTTTTGTTACTGCTTTTTTCCTCCTTAATCCTCATTTATTTCAGGTCATTCCTCAGGAAACCACAGCTGGGTCTTTTTTCTAAATGGTAAGGCAATACTGGGAGTCCTGTTGTTTTATTTGAAAAATTGATGATGGAGAAGAGAATCTGTTAACACAGTCCTGCTTATCCAGCATGAATATGCAGAAGGTCCCACTTGACAGGCATTATGAACCAGAGTCAGTTCATTTATTGGGCCCAAGCATCTCTCCAGACAAGGTTAAGAAATACCTTCTCCTTTCTGCTTTTCAGCCCTCTTCCTGATTTTCAGATACTTAGCTACAGTTCCTTTCTTTTTCCTAGAACATTATTCTAGCAAAAAGTATGTGTCAAGTCTTCTGTCCTCCTAACTCCTCTGATCAGTCACACCTACAGTCAGTGTTTTAGTCATGGTCCAAATTTCTTTATTCCAGAAGCTAATGCCCTCAGAGAAAGGCAACCATTATAATCAGCAGCCTGTCCAGCATTTCACCCCTCCTTGGTTCACAGCACAATGGATATGTTCACAAGGAAAAATCAGGGAATAGCTAGTACACAAAAATGCCTATCTGTGCCAGTGTGATTTATCCCGTGTTGATAGCATTAGCACTGAAAGTGTAGGGTAATAGGATCACACATTACTTGGAGTTCCCAGAGGTCTTGGTCCTTGTTAGCTTTTTTTTTCTACATGTGCTAGCACAATCCAAATAGCATAACTAGATTCATGCACATAAAATCACACCTTCATTTTGCTGTGTATGAGGCAAGGAATTGACTGTCCGGTCTGAAGATAGCAGCCTACCTACAATGAGGGCTTCTGCGTACAAGAAGAAAAGCATGAGAAAATAGAAGGTCAGTGTCTTAAGATGGGTAAAGAAAATGGGATGGAAAAATGCTAGATTACAAAAAATGAATTACTATTAAGTCATTTTCCCTACTGTATAATTTCCTCTCATTCCTCCATCTTCCTAGCCATTATGCTAAATGACAAAACAAGCAGTAAAGACCAGAACAAGAACTTCTCATGAAGAACAGCCAAAAGTAAAACTTTTTTCCTCCCCTCTCTTCTTCCCCAAAGTCTAAAGATGCTCTTGCAAAGAGTGTGTGCTTGTGAACCAGAAACAGGCTCTTAATGGAAGGAACTTGGCTGTAATTTATTTTTGTCTTGTGATATTAAGTAATTTTACTTGATGTACCATTTTTAAAAATAAAAGTATGGGTATATGGCGAAGTAGAAGTATGAGATACAGTGAATACAGAGACACTTGAATTTATTCTTGAATTCCTTTAAAGCTCATGTACTCATGAATGCCTGTGAAATCTTCCAGATACTAAATGGAACTTTGTGCTTTTTTCTTTTTCCCCGCGGGAAGCCTAATATTCCCACTTCTGCCCCAAAGCAGGAAATTTCTAGGAAAAATCTCACACAGGGTTTGCCTGCAAAGCCATTGTCAAATGATGAGATTTGAGATTCAAGAAATTGAAACTTTTTTTTTTGCACATTGTGCAAAGGGTATAGCAGTGGTTCTGGTGGATTCTTTTGTAAATTATTTGCCTCTTCTACACAAATGTGCCAACTGATGTTGTTCTGCGTGCTTTTAAATTTCTCTCTTCAATGTAATTACTAGAGGTACATCAGTGCCTAAGGCTATGTTATTATCTCTAGATTCAGACACTGTAAAATACACATCTGTTTGTGTCTTCCATTTTCTAGCTCGATATTCACACGGAAATATGTTGTGGTGTCTCAGCGTGACAGGTGTACGTATACTCACTTCTCAGTGGCCCTGCCTGGCCTCAGTATGTTTGCAAATGTTGAAGCCTAAAAGATGTTTTCCCCACAGAAACCACGCAGTAGATGTAACAAGTAATCAATCTTCTGAACAGCAATCAGGAAGCCTCTTAACAAACATCCTACACAAACACAATAATTAATCTAAGCTATGACCTGAATAGCAATTAATATAATCAGCATTAAAAGGTGTGCCTACTGTACTCATTTTGGGCTGTCATAGGATGTTATATGCAATATAAAAAAATTGGTTTGTTTTGAAGAATACTGATTTCAGGAGTGAAAGATGCAGATCGGGTTGTTTGTTCCAGTGTGCTCAGATTAAAGCAAAACACAATGTCAAAGTAGATAAAAAGGATATATACACACAAACTATGAAAAAAACCACCACCACCACCAAAAAAACAACCACCAAGCCAAACAAAAACCCAGACTTCTAACCACAAACTCTCAGATGAGCAATTGTGGTCTGTGAGCATTAAGTGGTGGAGGAAGTGATGTGCTTGGGCACAGGTTCAGCGTAGGCAATGTAAGCTTATCTCTCGTTTATTCATCGGGAGGCAAGTTGTTCTGAAAGCCCTAGGATGGTGCTCAGCCTGGTGTTGTTTTACTGATTTATTCCGGTTGAAGGTAGGCAACATAATTTTTTGAGAAATGACAGTACATTTCTTTTTCTGAACTAATAATACTTTAAAAAACACCCAAATAAGTGAATTTTGAATGTCTCGTTTACTTCATGTTCATGTTGGGCAATGGAGGCAGGCAGGCAGGTTTCATTACCAGCAGCAGGCTGGAGGCAGCACTGCAACGTTTATATGGTGGTACTGCTGAGAGGTTTTTAAATAAGAACAGACGTCTTTTCCTTAAGGATTACAATAATGCCTGTATCCTACAGGCACACTTCTAATGATCTTTTCTTTTACACAGCTCTTTAGAAATCCTAACCACCAAAATTAATGTCTGAAATGCCTAAAAAATGTGGCCAAAAATAAGCTCCTTTAAGCTCCTTTTTTGAAATACATAGGCAATTCTTCCTGACTTTCAGTATTGGGTATAATTACGGATGGAATTTACTTCATTTAGCTTATTTATTTAACTTGGTTGCCATTTCAGAATGGAGGAAATAAAAAAAAAAAAAAAAAAGGAATTTTCTGTCTGTTCCCTAGTGGTGGTTCAAACTAGTTGAGGTTGGACAGACATTCCCCAGGGAACGTCAGGAAGCTCTCATCATTTTTCTTCCGTATTACACTGAAATTGGTTTCTTGTGAGTCATTATATCCATTACTTAAATTTAACTACGCATTACACCAGGTATATGACAATGTGGGCTTGGCCAAAGATGAAGAAGCCTGACAGATAAGCATTGAACAATTACACATCAAGAGAAAAATCGATCATTGATAATAACCTCCCTTTCTGACAGAGTATGAGGAGTAATGGAAAAGAGAAGGGAAAAAAATTAGACAATGAATGGAGCTGGGGGAGGCAGCAGAGGAATCCAAGAACAGGAATGTGCTGATATGGTTCGAGACATACCCTAGCACAAGTAATAAAACATGCATTTTATTGAAGATTTTTCCTCTTTGATAATTATTTTTTGCTCTTCTCTACGGTGTTTCCACAGACACTTTTTGTTTTCACTTCTCCCAGCCTTCAAAACACTTCTTTGTTTTTTTTTTCTCCATGCAGCAAGAAAGCAAAAAATCCTGTTCCTAATTCTGCAGCCATCTCAAGAGCACCTGTTGCCATTTCCACTGTGGCCTAAATTTTTCTTTCCCTTTGCCAAAGAAAGAATCAGCAACTCCCAAATTCAATTTTAGTTTTGAATGCAATTTCTAGAAAGCAAGCCTCCTCGTCACCCCTCTCCTCATGTTCTCACAACACCTAGTCATTTCCTCCGTATTTCTTTATCGACCTCTTATCTGCCAGTACCAGCAAGAGCTCTTTTTGCCTGCAGTCTCCCAGGGGCAGGGTTCGCATCCGGGTCCTGCTGCCACTTGGAGCCCCTGCATCCACGCTGTCCTCAGACAGCCCCCGGGCTCCTCTCCTCCTTGCTCAGAGGCAGAATGCAGCAGATGGGCTCTCAGATGGTGATGGGGACAGCGAGGCACAGGATGTGCAGAAGCATCCCTTGTAGACAGTGAACAGGAACAAACTGTGAAGGGAGGGTCAGGCAGCTTCCAGTCGTGCTTTGTGGAGGACAGAAATTGCAGCTAGTGAAGGAATTTGAGAATTCAAAGTCCAATCTCTGGGCTGGATGTTAAACAGAAGTTGAAAATTTTACTTGAAAGCACATTTCTGTATCTAGCATTTGAATTGTCAAAAATGTTGACAGAAAACTTTCAAAACTTTATTTTTCAAAATCTTTCTGAAAATACACAGAAGGTACTAGAAAACTTTTTTCTAAGATTTTTGTAGTTGTAGAAAAATCAACCTGACTTTTTATTTCAATAGATAACTTCTATTTAAAAAAAAAACCTACAAAATATCACCAACCAGTTCAGTTGCAATGGTTTAAGTGAAGAGATTAAATATCTTCAAGGTATCCCTGCTGAAATGTAAAACGCAAGCACAGGCAAGTGAGCCAAGCCATATGAAAGCCTGCCATCTGGGCTGGGACAGGAGAGGAGGAAGGTCAGGAACCCTGGAAAGAAAGAGGATCAATAGAAAAGTCTTGAGAGGAATGAATTCAAGTCCTGTGGAGAAATAGAAAACTACCTTAGGTGAACTGTCAGAAGCAGCTGCCTATTCTAAAAATAATAGTGCTTGCTCTTTTGCTCAAGTTTCTTTTTCCTTTTTCTTTTCTTTTTTTTTTTCTTTTTTTTTTTTTCATTTCCTTTCCCTCTCAGCTTTCCCTTGATTGATAAAAGAAAAAATTGGTGTATTTTTTTAACACCTCTTCTTGCTATTTCAAAACTGCTGAAATCTTGCAATAGCAAAGGCTAGAAAAAAATAAAAGATTAAAAACATTGAAGTATATGCAGCAGTCAGGAAACTGACCCAAAACTTCAGGTAACGAGTTCATGCAGATGTCAACTTAAAGTTCAAATGGATCAGCATATCAAGTGAATTTTCTGCAGGGGATTTGGAAAGGTAAGAAAGAAGGCAATATAACTGCAAGAAAGCTTTCAAGCTTCCTTTGGGCATTCAGTCCACTCTGCAGCTCAGCTTTGCTGGAAGAGATATTTAAATAGCTTAGATTTTCTCTTTTTGCAGCTTTCCTAATTAGAAATAGTTTATTAATTAAGGAAAATTAGTGGAAAATCACACTAACTAGACTAATAGTCTTCCCTCTGAAGAATGGATTGCTTTCTCCAGACTTGTTATCAAATGAGAGCTCCCATGCAGATGATGGGCGAGGTTCGAGGCACAGAGGGAAGGAGAAGAAGCACAAAGCTCACCCCCTTCTCATCCACTCCTTCCTGCTCTCCCAGCACTTTCTGAAGCTGAAATTGTGTCCCAACGTCTATGTAATAGTGTGGTGGGGCCTGGATCACTAGGACCGTTAGGGGTTTCTGGAAAATACTAATGCTGTTAGAAAAATTGTCAACACACTTGTACTAATTCTGCTAAAGCCACTGATGCTAGTTTGGATTTAACTCATGCAAATTGGAGCAGAACGTGGACCTGAACAGCTAGAGAAGAGTAATTTTGGTACAAAAAGGAAGCGTCGTGTAAAACTAAGATCTATAAAGTCTCTTCATTGAAATCTTTAGCTCTAAGGAATTTTTCTTTGTATGTTGAATCTAGTTACAACTACAATAGAAAATGAAATGTGATGCGTACTAAAAACCTTAGCTATCAATTAGTAATACGCAAGAATGAAAGACGAATATCTAATATATAACTGATATGGTCTCCAGTGAGAAAGCCTGGGTATTTTAAGTGCGTGCCTGTGTTTCTGGGAAGCTGTGGAAGGCTGCTTGATGCCCACAGCAGTTGGCACTGAACAGTTGGCAGCTTCTTCATCTCTCTCTCAGGAGAGTGCCCGTTTTACACCAGGGTTTGGTTTTATCTCTAAATCTAGCGCAGAACCTGCCATGAAGAATGACACTGATGGTCAGGGAAGAGACACTCAGCAAAGGCACTGATGTCAAACGCAATGAGAAGGAAATGTTGCCTGTGCAATTTCACTGACTGCTCAGAAATATGTTAACACTCCTGTGGTGTGTGTGCTGGTGGATTTGTGGGGCTTTGGGGCAGCTGCCCCTGTGCTTGTAGCACTGCCTCTTCTCATTCTGCTGGTGGGCAGGAGGAGCGGAGCCACTGCTCACCCCCAGCATGCACGCAAGGGCTGGCAGAGGCACAGCCCCTGCCTCTCCCTGAGCCCCCTGCCCCGGCCCTATTCCACATGAAGAGGGCACCACAGTCCTCACTGCCCAGGAATGTGTGCCAGCAGCATGGGGACAAGGGAGCTTCTTCATCAGAAGATGTTTCCCCTCTGAAAGCATGCCTCCTAGCCCTTCCCCAAACTTTGCAAGGTCAACCCCTACCCTCCACTTTTGCTGAAATGTTTCTGTTGGAAAATTCAAATGGTTAGAAAGAAATCGATTGCAATGAAGGCAAGTTTTGAACTTCAGCATTTTGCCCTCTTATTTTGTGCTCAACACTGCTTTTCTTCTTTGCACAGGCATTAACAATTCATCTTTTGATTGAAATAGCAAACAAAAGGTCTAGGTATTTATCTGAAAAGGACTGAGAACCGAGTTCTAATGCAATTACCTCAAAAAGAAATGTATCAGTGGAAAGCATATTAGATTAGAATGAAAGACGCTCACTAATCACACCTAAAAACAGAAAAGATTTTTTTTAAATAAATATGGCTGAAACTACCCTATTAGTTTTACGTTCAAGATATTTTCCCCACAATTCAGAGAAATGTATTTCCTAAAGCTAGGAAAATGTACGTTCCCTTGCAAATCACCTCTGTTCAGCTGGTCTAGATACAGTTATAGCTAAGGGTGGCTTAATGTTCTCAATGTGGGAATGCGAGTGCATATCGCAGACCTGTCAATATTCCAGAATGGCAGTATGTAGGTATCTTTCTAAATGAGTAGTTCACATCATGCTTGGACACCTACAATGAAGATCGGTGAAGGTTTTCTATTAGAGAATTTATTTTTGATAAACACTTGATTACAAAAAGCCAAAAGCCAGAGCGATTGCATTCCTTACATGTGTAATAGCAGCTAACACGTGCTGTACAAATATATCCATTATTTACAACCCACCTAAAGCTCTATCAGCACCAGCAGCAAAAGAGACAATCTTATCAGCAGAACTTCTTTGACATCAAGCTGCTTTTCTTGCAGATAAATGCTCACTGGTTCTGCCAGGCTCTACAATGAAAACTTGACAAACGTGCAGGGCTGCATCCCAGCTCTCTGCAAACAATCAAACAAGTAGCCGGCGCTGATCATCGGAGCTGCTGGCACAGTCTTAACCTTTTCAGTAGCAGCTGTGAGAATATTTTCTCAGATCTGAAGAG